AGAATTCAGCGTTTCTTCAAAATATGGGAAACTACAAGCACTTTCCAAACCAAAATTTCCACTTTGGTTTTCAGGTCAACAAACTTTCCAAAACAAAATTTCCCTTTATCCATCCTCCCGAAAATCAGAAACTCTGTTTGCAGAAACGGTTCTGCTATATAAAAAAAAACAAAACAAAAACAAAAGGTCATAGAAAGGGTTCCGGTGACCCAGAAATTCCAAAGGGTCTACTCAAGACTCTTCCTAATCTCGATCCTAGATTTAAAAAATGTGAACGCGTTTCTTCCTTACCAAAGGTTCAGAATTGAAACGATTACTTCCGTAACTCATATTCTTCGGAAAGGGGATTTTATGGTGAAGCTGGATCTCGGGGATGTTTACCTTCATATCCCTATGGCAGTTACCTCAAGAAGATTCCTGAGAGTCGCCATAAAAGGGGGAAAATAGATTTTACATTTCCAGTTCAAGGCTCTCCCCTTCGGTTTGTCATCAGCCCCAAGAATATTTACAAAAGTTCTTACACCCATAACAGCTTATCTAAGGAAGCGGGGAGTCAAGCTCACTCCCTACTTGGACGATTGACTGCTTATAGCAAATTCCAGACGTTTGCTGTTGGAAAAGGTTCAAATCACAATCCACGTGCTTCAGGAACATGGTTGGATACTGAACTTAAAGAAGTCGATTCTACTTCCTTCAAGAAAAATAGAATTCATAGGATTCGAGAGATATATGCTCAAGAACGTTCTCTCTACATCTGACTACAGACAAAAGAAAGACAATCCGGGAAAAAAGTGTCCGATTTATAGAAAAGAGATTATTACTCTATATGACCGGCAATGAGTGTTCTGGGATATCTAACCTCATCAATTCCTGCAGTCAAATGGTCAAAAATTGAGAAATAAGGTCTCTTCAGTGGGAAATCCTCTCTACTCGGTCAAAAAGAGAGTCTTAGATTTGTATCTCCAGATATCTCCTCAGGTGAAAGTTTGGTTAAACTGGTGGAAAACCTCAAGTTTCCTTTCGGCAGGTCTGACCTTCAGACCGAAAGAATGGGTGGTCATCACTACAGATGCATCAAACTCAGGCTGGGGCACAGAAGACAAAAACAGGTCAACAAATTTCAGAGAATTGAAGGCAGTTCTTTACCGATTCAGATCTTGGATAGAAAAGAGGCCTATAAGAATACAGTCAGACAACACAGTGGTCTCTTACATCAACAGACAAGGTGGCACCAGAGTGGAAAGATTGTTTCGGCTATGCACTGACATTATGTGCTGGGCTCAGGTTCACTTAGACATCTCTGCGGTCCAAAGAAAGGGCGTCCATAGAAAGGGCATTGACAATGTCATCGCCAATGAGGGAAATGGGATCAGAAAGAGTGATCTCTAAACCCAAGGATATTTGACGTTCTAATAAAGAGATTTGGAATGCCCATCGTAGACCTTATGGCAAGAAGTAAGAACACAAGGTGTGGCGAAACCAACCTCGCCACTGTGAACTGGAGAAGCCTGGTTGCTCGCCTGCTCCCTTTGGACTATGGCCCTGCAGGTTAAACCATTTATTTCCCCTGCAGAAAGGCTTATTTGTGTGATCTGAGTGCCATTCATCTAATAATGTGCACTCAGATCCCAGCTATCTGGGGATATGTGAAATGTCTGTGTGTTCTGTGTAAATGTGACTTTATGTATTTTAAAGTGTTTTGTGTCTTTTTGCAACCATGTGCTTAATGGAGTCTTGTGTCTGTCCTGGGAGATAATTGAATTACTCTCCAGGATAGAAGACTCTGAAACTGGTTTGGGCCAGAAAGCCATGCTTCATTTAGTCACAAAGGACTTTTTACTAACTTTTGAACCCCTTGTCTGATTTGTGCCATTTTGAATATGTTGTTCCCCTGAATGGATTGATTGTGAATATGTAATTTTATGTGAATGTGATGTATGGTTTTGGAGTTATGAAAGTTGGGTAGAAGGTATGTTTTAACTGTATGTATAATTGAGTTTCCTCTCAGGATAAGGGGAGGGAATATGTGGGATGTAACTGTGATGTGATTGGTTGTTTTGTAACGCCCTGTGGGCTGTACTATGTTTGTGGATTGGGAATAAAAAGAGACTGTATGTGACAGTACAGGGAGTTCCTGTTTTAACCCTCAAAGTGAAGTGTCGTCTCATTATTGGGGGAAGGATTCATTGTATGTTGTTCCAGTTTGACTGCTAGGAAAGTAAACCTATTCGTATGGTTCCTATTCAACTGTCTACAGCATTCATATGCTTGGGAGAATTTATTTGTTTCTCCGGTTCGGTGATTGTGGTGTCTGCCAGAGTGCTTGGAGTCCTCAGGAAGCGCTAGGAGCATCCTTCAACGGAGGTACCCAGTCGGGGGTGCCAGGCGATCCGTTACATTGGTGGCAGCGGTGGGATGGCATCCCTGAGTGCGAGAGATTAAAGAAGCGAAACTCAAGAGACACAGTTCGTTTTGGATTACAAAGAGTGAGATTGCATGAGTACCCGTACAGCGACCCTATCGACAAAAGAGCCAACTTCAGCAGCGCAAGCATGGCACCTAGCTACACTCAGGAGCAGTATGACAGAGAGTTTGCTATGCGGCTGGCTTTCTTTGGACCCAACCCCCCGGAGAAATACGTGCAGTTCGTAAGGAGCCAGGTAGACGAGTACCTGGAGTTCATGGCAGATCCAGCCAAAGGTATCAGCCGCCCTATCCGGAGGCAGAGTGCGTTACGGGGACTCATAGGTGTACCCAGGGAGCAGAAGGTGCCGTCCTTCCTCCCCAGCGGCAGTGTGTATCCCAGGGAGCTGAAGGTGCCGTCCTTCCTCCCCAGCGGCAGTGTGTACCCCAGGGAGCAGAAGGTACCGTCCTTCCTCCCCAGCGGCAGTGTGTACCCCAGGGAGCAGAAGGTACCGTCCTTCCTCCCCAGCGGCAGTGGGAGTTCCAGGGAGCCGAAGGTGCCGCCCTTCCTCCCCAACGGCAGTGAGAGTTCCAGGGAGCCAAAGGTGCCGTCCTTCCTCCCCAGCGGCAGTGTGAGTCCCAGGGAGCCAAAGGTGTCGTCCTTCTTCCCCAGCGGCAGTGTGTGTCCCAGGGAGCTGAAGGTGCCGTCCTTCCTCCCCAGCGGCAGTGTGTAACCCAGGGAGCTGAAGGTGTCGTCCTTCCTCCCCAGCGGCAGTATGTATCCCAGGGAGCTGAAGGTGCCGTCCTTCCTCCCCAGCGGCAGTGTGTACCCCAGGGAGCTGAAGGTGCCGTCCTTCCTCCCCAGCGGCAGTGTGTATCCCAGGGAGCTGAAGGTGCCGTCCTTCCTCCCCAGCGGCAGTGTATATCCCAGGGAGCTGAAGGTGCAGTCCTTCCTCCCCAGCGGCAGTGTGTATCCCAGGGAGCTGAAGGTGCAGTCCTTCCTCCCCAGCAGCAGTGTGTACCCCAGGGAGCTGAAGGTGCAGTCCTTCCTCCCCAGCGGCAGTGTGTACCCCAGGGAGCTGAAGGTGCCGTCCTTCCTCCCCAGCGGCAGTGTGTACCCCAGGGAGCTGAAGGTGCCGTCCTTCCTCCCCAGCGGCAGTGTGTACCCCAGGGAGCTGAAGGTGCAGTCCTTCCTCCCCAGCGGCAGTGTGTACCCCAGGGAGCTGAAGGTGCAGTCCTTCCTCCCCAGCGGCAGTGTGTACCCCAGGGAGCTGAAGGTGCCGTCCTTCCTCCCCAGCGGCAGAGTGTCCTGCAGGAAGCAGAGACCGTCAGTCTCGCACCCCAACCACAGGACAAAATAATGAAAGGGGAGACAGCTGGTCCCCCTCTCCACCAGCAGAGAGAGTGTCAGGGAGAGGAGCCTGATACACCCTCTCCCCAGCGGCAGTTTACAGTTCAGAGAGAGGAGCTTGTTACACCCTCTCTCCAGCGGCAGCCTTACCCAGCAAGGGGAGATGTTACACCCCCCAACAGTGCAGATGGGACTGTAGTCTCTGCACTTACAGCACAAGGGGTAGGGACAGTCGGTCCTGTTCCCCAGCCACAGAGCGGTGTATCCAGAGGAGAGACAGTCGGTCTCTCCCTCCCACAACCAGGCTCCCACCAGGCTACTTCCGTGGTAGCACTGGCATCAGGGCAGAGTACCGCTGGTCTCTGCCCTCGCAGCAACCCACCAAGGCAGCCTAACAGTTGCCCACACAGTCGTGGTGAGGCACCTGGACATGGACAAAGTTCTCCTCTACCCAGGTGTAGTAACCAGTTATTGTGGGTGGGCTGCACTGCTGTTTCTGTTTTGTGGGTGGGTTGCTGGACTAACCAGGGCACTGACCGGCAGGAGGTCAGATACCCTGTTAGTCTAGTTGGTAAAGGGGAGAAGTGTGGCGAAACCAACCTCGCCACTGTGAACTGGAGAAGCCTGGTTGCTCGCCTGCTCCCTTTGGACTATGGCCCTGCAGGTTAAACCATTTATTTCCCCTGCAGAAAGGCTTATTTGTGTGATCTGAGTGCCATTCATCTAATAATGTGCACTCAGATCCCAGCTATCTGGGGATATGTGAAATGTCTGTGTGTTCTGTGTAAATGTGACTTTATGTATTTTAAAGTGTTTTGTGTCTTTTTGCAACCATGTGCTTAATGGAGTCTTGTGTCTATCCTGGGAGATAATTGAATTACTTATCTCCAGGATAGAAGACTCTGAAACTGGTTTGGGCCAGAAAGCCATGCTTCATTTAGTCACAAAGGACTTTTTACTAACTTTTGAACCCCTTGTCTGATTTGTGCCATTTTTGAATATGTTGTTCCCCTGAATGGATTGATTGTGAATATGTAATTTTATGTGAATGTGATGTATGGTTTTGGAGTTATGAAAGTTGGGTAGAAGGTATGTTTTAACTGTATGTATAATTGAGTTTCCTCTCAGGATAAGGGGAGGGAATATGTGGGATGTAACTGTGATGTGATTGGTTGTTTTGTAACGCCCTGTGGGCTGTACTATGTTTGTGGATTGGGAATAAAAGAGACTGTATGTGACAGTACAGGAGTTCCTGTTTTAACCCTCAAAGTGAAGTGTCGTCTCATTATTGGGGGAAGGATTTATTGTATGCTGTTCCAGTTTGACTGCTAGGAGAGTAAACCTATTCGTATGGTTCCTATTCAACTGTCTACAGCATTCATATGCTTGAGAGGATTCATATGCTTCTCCGGTTCGGTGGTTGTGGTGTCTGCTGCAGTGCTTGGAGTCCTCAGGAAGCGCTAGGAGCATCCTTTAACGGAGGTACCCAGTCGGGGTGCCAGGCGATCCGTTACACAAGGTTCCCAAATTTGCCTCCCTGTTCAGGACAGATCATCCTCAATGGATAGACCGTCTATCACTCCAATGGGATTTCTCCCTAGCGTACATCTTTTCTTACAATAAAGCTGATCCCAAGAATTCTTCAAAAGATAAGAACAGACAGTGGATCTAGCAATCATTCCATACTGGCCAAACAGGAGTAGTTTTTCGGACTTGAAGGAGATGGCTTCCATATACTGGGAACTTCCGATCTCAAAAGCTCTGATAGAAAACAGGGAGTTACCTCTGGAAATTCTACAGATGTTCAGATTAACAGCATGGCTGTTGCAAGGCTAATCCTTCGTTATCAGGGTCTTCAGGAAGACAGGGTCCAATTACTCCTTCAATCTACCAGACGTTCCACCTCAAAGTTGTACATGAGAATTTGGGCGAAATTTCTACATAAGTGTAAAACATCAATGTCTTAAAGTACATCCTTTGGTTGATTCTATTTTCACTTCCTTCAAGATGGGCTTTACAAAGGTTTGGGTGTTTCCACTTTAAAAGTCCAACTATCTGCCTTGAGGTTTTTTTTTTTTTTAATTATTATTATTATTTTTATTTTTTCTAGTGAAGGATTTAGCGTTGCATGTTCTAATTCTGAGATTCTTCAAATAGTAAAGCCTTTTAGACCACCCAGGAAGTCCTGTTTTCCCTCCTGGGATCTTTCTTCAGTCCTGCAAGTGCTCTGTGAAACTCCTTTTGAACCTCTGGAGAAGGTCCCATTGAAGAATCTTAACACTCAAGACTGCCTCCTGGATGGCCATCACCTCTGCCAAAAGAGTAGGTGAACTTCAGGCTCTTTCTTCATCGGACAAATTCATTATATTCCATCAAGATAAGGTAGTACTCCATCCTTCATTCCTTACGAAGGTTATTACTTCTAGAGCTGTTAAGGCCCATCGTTTTACCTTCCTTCTGCAATAATGCCACCTCGCCGCAGGAACTAAAATAGCAAAAATTGGATGTTAGAAGAGCTCTACAGATTTACCTTTCAAAAACTGGGAAAATTTTAAAAGGGATAGAGCCTCTCGTAATTCTATCTCTCGTTGGTTGATTGATACAGTCAAGATGGCATATGCTTCCAGTAACCATCCTATACCTACTTCTTTTAAAGCACAGTCCACAAGAGCAATGACCACATCATGGGCAGAAAAGGCTCTCTCTTCGCCCGAAGAAAATTGCAAGGCGCCTTCTTGGTCATCATTCAACACCTTCATCAGGCTAAAAAGGCTAGATGTATTCTTGTCCTCTGAAGCTGCATTTGGGCGTAAGGTGCTTCAAGCAGTTGTGGCATAATGCCCATCCAATGGGAATCTTGCTATATCCCACAGGTACTGCCACCATATGTCAGAATAAAACAGAATTTTTTCTTTTCTTAATATGGTGGCAGTACAATACTCTCTGCCTCTGAATTAAAAATGTACTTGTTGTATTTGACTTGTGTGTTGTGTTTTCTTGCTATGACTGAGGTGGGTTTGCCGGGGGGTAGGGACTTTTATTTAACTCCTATCTTGTAGATGCTTGTTTCAATTAAGGAGGCACAATCCACAGGTACTGCCACCATACTAAGAAAAAAAAAGAAATTACAATAAGTAAAAATGTAAGGTGTTAAGTGTGTGTGTGTGTGTGTGGTTTTTTTTTTTTTTTTTTTTATGAGTGACCATTACAAGATGTCATGACATGTCATCAACATGTTTTGGCAATTTCTAACACTAACTCTGAATACAAACCATAAGAGCTTCATACTAAAATGTATAACATAGACCAGAAGTAGGCAACCTTTTAGTAGTACTGTGCCACATGGAGATTAAGTCCCTTGGCATGCCGGTACTATTTTTTTTATTTTATTTTTTATTTTATTTTAATTGAGGTGTTTATGTTGCTGTATTCTGCCCATTTTATTTGTGGGTGCTGCACTTGCTTTGTAGCATTGTATTTGTGCCTTTGTGGGCTGTTTATATTGTATAGAATACGTTCAAAAGTAGTTTGTGGCATTGTGTATGATACATATGAATGTTGGGTGTGTATGGGGCTGCTTGTGGCATTGTGTGTGGATGATATGTCACGTTGTGTGTTTGTGCGTGGTCTGTTTCTATTATTTGCATAAGTGTGAGGCTTATTCTGCAGCTCTGTGTTTATCTATCAGTGAGGGTGACTTCCCTGGGTCTCAGTTGGGATGCGGCTAGCAAGGTACAGGTGAAGGGCAGGAGTTGCAAAAGCTGTTGCGGGCTGCTCTACTCCAGTGGGGGATTTTGTTCAGCAGTGCTGGGATATAGTGATCTGAGATTACTTCCTCTAAATGCTGCAATGCGTAAATTGAGGATTGGCCTTCACCATCTGCAATCACCACTCGGTATGCACGAAGAAGTCCTAAAAGGCAGTGCCTGTTTGACTGTGGTAGCATTGAATGCCATACAAAGGCACCCTGAGTGCCATGCATGGCACACGTGTCCTAGGTTGCTGACCCCTGATGGAAAAGCAACACCTCAAGAGGGTCACTATTGCCTAATTTAACGTAAAACGTGAGGGGGTTTGGTCACTGCTGTGCCAAAACATAAACCATACAATTCTCCAAGTGCAGCACTAATGCAAGACTGCTATGATTTATTTAGCAGTAAGTTTTAGATGGCACAAATAATTGGCCCTATTTACTAAGCTGCTCATTGTGCTACTTTCTATTTGTGCTATATGGCCTAATTTAAATCTCCAGTCCAATAATGGGTAACAAATGTTCGCTAAGGTTTGGCCACATCAACACCTCTCATCTCTACTTTTGTATGTTAAACTTCATGCAGAGAAATATTTCCTGTATATGTAGTTTGTAAACTCCCTCTATCTAAGGACTGTCTTACCTGACCCCCCTCCCACCCCCCAACTGATCATGTATAGAAGGTCTTTTCAAATCCTGCAAGATATGTGAGCAGCTGTATGGAACGATCCTAATGTTCTTGCATTGTACAGGATGAAATTTTCTAAACTTCCTCAACTCCACCTTTTAAAAGGTTATTCCAGCCACCATTACCACTTCAGTCATTTAAAGTTATTATTTACCGTATATACTCGAGTATAAGTCGACCCGAATATAAGTCGAGACCCCTAATTTCACCCCCAAAAACTGGGAAAACTTATTGACTCGAGTATAAGACTAGGGTGGGAAATGCAGCAGCTACTGGTAAATTTCTAAATAAAATTAGATCCCCCCCCAAAAAATTATATTAATTGAATATTTATTTACAGTGTGTGTATGAGTGCAGTGTGTGTATGTGATGCAGAGCATTTTTTATTTATATATTTTTTTTCGTCCCCCCCCCCTGCTTGTTAGCTTGTTAGCTGGCCAAGGAGGGGGCTCTTATTCCCTGGTGGTCTAGTGGTGTGCACAGTGCAGGAGGGGTGCTGGCAGTGAGCTGTAACTTACCTTTCCTGCAGCTCCTGTCAGCTCCCTTCTCTCTCCTCCAGTCCGGTCAGCTCTCTTCTCCTCCACTGTAAGTCTCGCAGCCGCGCGGAGCGTTCACCGCGACTCTCGCGGGATTTACAGTGGAGCTGACAGGGGAGCTGACCGGACCGGAGGAGAGAGAGAAGGGAGCTGACAAGAGCTGCAGGAAAGGTAAGTTACAGCTCGCTGCCAGCCCCCAACAGACATTGACTCGAGTATAAGTCAAGTGGGGGTTTTTCAGCACAAAAAATGCGCTGAAAAACGCGACTTATACTCGAGTAGGTACAGTATTTTTAAACGTGTGCAAAAAGCTGTATAAAAAAAAATAGCTTAGAGGTACTGTCGACAATCTTATGTCACTAACCTCAGTAAACACTATTGAAGTGTTTGACATGACTAGGTTAAGGTGTATGACAGAAGAATATGTGGGGAAAATACACTTGCTTCCTGTGAATTTCCAGGTCATAGTTCTGCCGTTTCCCCTTATAGGGGGAAAAATGTTCGCTTAATCATTTGATTTTTATTTATTTAAATTGGCATGTATTATTAAATAGGATTATTCACTAAAGTGAAAAGATAAAGTATATATTTTTTTTTTTAACCTTTAAAATGTACCTTGAATTCTCTCTTTAGTGAATAACCCTGTTTAAAGATAAATGCAATTTCAAATTAAAAATATCAAAATATTAAGTTAATATTTTTTTCCCAAAATCTTGCTTTTTTCTTTGTACTATATCTGTAGAAAGTGCTGTAAATCTATGGTATCCCATACCCATTGTGCAGGTCTGATACCAATGCCTAATAGAAATGGAAAAATAAAATAATTACTGCTACTTTAAAGGTGTTCTAAATTGGATACAGAATATGAGATTTTTAATGCTTAGAATTTCACAAATTGAGCAGAAGTAATGAGAAGACAATCCAGCATAAAATGCCTGTGACCATGAAGGAGTATAAGACTGAATGCATGCGATGTACGCTGCTTGGAAGTAGACTCCACGCAGTGACTTGCAGAACGCTCAGAGAGGTGCATTTAATTATGTGCCCTCTGTCTTATTAAACAGACTCCGGGTAGTTACGTTGAGGTCAGCAGTTTTTCCCGATAGTCACAGGCTATGGCTTTAATACCATCATAAAGGGCTTTACTGTCATGAGAGAAATCAGTTTACTGGCTGCTCTCCTCGGCTACTTTCAGAAGAATACCACAGGCTTTGATTGCATTTCCATGAAGCTTATTATCCCCCATACAAGCCACTGCTGTTTTTCTCCTCTGCACCTGTTTGTGCTACATATAAAAAGAGCAGCTAGAGTGCTTTGTCTGATCCACAGAGGTGTGAAAAGAAATGGTATTGAGCACAGAGCTGCTGTGGAGAGGTAAGCTGGCTGAAACAAGTGCTGTTTGCCTCTGTAGTGACAGGTATCCAGCGGTGTGACTGCTGAGTAGAGGGAAGGAAGCGTTAAGATCATTCATTTTATGGCAGCTCTCAGCACTGCGCAGGGTAATAGGACATATATCACTACAGATGCATTAGCATCGTTTACTGGTATGTATGGCG